AATTATCCAAATTTGAGCAAATATAACCCATTTACTTGTCCATTCATTAACCCGGCATGTGCCAGACACTCACTCCACCCCAGACCGAGGTGAGGACACAGCAGAGATGAAAAACACAATGTGTCTATTCCCAGAGGGCGTCCATTTCTGCAGGTGACGAAGACAGAAGTCCAAGACCATTTCGGGGAGCAGTGTGACAATATCTAGAAAAGCTGGTGAGGTGCGTTTCCTTACCACTCAGAAAACCCAGTTTGAGATTCGTGCCCTGCAGGAAACTCTCACACGGATTTGTTTGTTCAAACTCTGTGCCGGGTACTGCTCTGTGCCCTGGAGAGCAGCGTAGCAAAGAAGAGAAATGGATACCATCCTAAATGTCCACCAACAAGCAGTGTGCACATTCACTGAGGTTTGTCCAGACAACGGAATATGACGGACATTTTTCGAGCAAGAGAGAATGGACACGAGCTGCAGAATGATTCGTCGATGTAAGACCTCCACCCCGTCTCTTTCAGCTCCCTGCTTCGTGTTCTCTGTTGCCCTCGGAATTCCCCGAGATTATTTCTCTCCTGTCTCTCTGCTCGCCACTTTTAGCTGGCATTATTTTGGATTCGGGGAACGCAATTCATGTTGGTGAGGTGGGCCGCCTGTGTGTGTGTGATTCTCCTGGGAACACACAGCAGTGAGGAGAAAACACTCTTGGTTCAGAGACACGGAGAGGGGGTGCCGAGCCCTTTACTTTTGCAGCAGACTTTTAGTAAGCACCTGCTTTGGGGTAGCCAGACATTTTGATCCCAGCACAGTCTGACTCCAGAGCTGGAAATTTCCAGTACTCCTGAGGCTCTCGCTCTCTGGCCCCCTCCCCTCTCCTTCCAGGAGCCCGCTGCAGTTTCCATGGCAACGGCCTGAGCCCGCCTCTGCGGCTCAGTCAGGTGACAGCTCTTGAGAGAAAACAGATGAAGAGGTGCCCCCTGACCGAGACCCAGCCTGGGTGGGGGCGGGGGGGGTGGTCTCACACCTGCAGCCCCTCCCCACTGCTGATGGGGCCCATCCTTTGTGCACATTCATGCACATCATTAGATGGGGGTCAGTGAGTAGGAACACAAAGCCGGCTCTTTGGGTCCCAGCAGGCCTTATAAGAACTCACAAACCCCCCACAAGAAGCGGGGATGTTGGTCTTAGCCTTTCAACACTCACTGACTCATTCTACATATTGATTAAGCCCCACTCTTTTCATGAAGCCAGGGATGCGATGGGGAGAAAAACAAGCAGTCTCCACCCTGAGACCCTAATATCCGAGACATCTGTTCCTCTGAAACAGGCATTTAATCATCAGACAAATAGGTATCGAGGCCCCCCGGCCACGTACCAGGTGACAGAGCAGGGGGTCAGACGCGGCAGAAACCAGACAGTGGAAAGCCCCTGCTTCTGGGGCTTCTCTTCTAGTGGGGTCACGGACAGTGGACAGGAGAACCCAGAAGGCAGCACCGTGATTAGAGCAGTGAAGAAAAAAAGCTTGGGCAGAGGCTGGGGAGAGGGCCCAGGAGAGGATGGGCGTTGAGGGAAGGGAGTGAACAGGGATGAAGGAAGAGGGGCCCAGGCTGTCTGGGGGCTTGTTGGGACATCCTAGGAAGGAAGCAGCCCCCCAGCAGTGTGAGATAACAGAACGTAAGAGGTGAAGTCAGCGATGGAGGAAGGTCAGGTCACGATGGAAGGCACTCTGGATTGTATTAATTAGCCCCTGTAAGTATTAATCTAGAGAGTGTTATTTGTATTAAGTGTGTCCATCACTCAGTGACACAAGGATGGAGGCGTCCACGTGGCTCAGAGTCCGTGGGAGGGAGAGGAATCACGCTGACAAACACACGGAGGTGACATCAGAAGGACGAGTGGTTTGCTTGGTGACCACCCTGGTGCCAGGTCCCGCCTCCGGGAAAGGGACGCAGAGAGAGGCGTTTCGGCATTGGTTTGGGGTTTGGCGTCTGGGGGGTGCCTCGTGGGCGGGGCTGTGAATACCAGGGTTGGGAGGGGTCAAAGACGGCACTGGTTCCAATCCATCATGCCATCTCTGTCATCTCTTCGAGCCTCAGTTTCCTTGTCTGGTTAAGAGAACCCTGTTAGGCCCTGGACAGCACTTTGGGTTTTATTAATTAGCATTGTAAGTATAAATATACATAATATTGTTTATCAGCTCTGACAGGGCTTATAAGAAAAATGGGGCCAAAAGAACACCTTGACTCACAGATGTGTCTGAGATTAAATTTCACATGCAAGTTTAGGTTTGCATACAGTAGGTGCTCAATAAACACGAGTGACACATTTTCAGTAGGAGTAGGAGGACTTTCCTTTCCTACCTGAAGATCGGAAAATGAGTAGGCAGGCCATGGGGCTTCGGTGTAGAGTTGTGCAGGCTGTTCACTGCACAAGGGTGATAATCAAGGCTGGTAAAGGGTTGAAATCCAGACCATCCTGTCCCACCAAGCTGGACATGGAGCTGTGAGGCTGCACCCCCCTGGGGAAGGGGCATCCTTTGCTATTCAGGTAAGGTCTGGGCCAGCCGTGGTCCTGTCGCCTCCCTGCACCGGGCCTTTTGGACACCAGATCAAGGAGACGCTGGTTTAACAGCCAGCAGCATTCTTGGCAGCGACAAAAGCCAGCATGACACCAGCCGTTGAGAGAGGCACGGGGGGACGGCAGGTAGATCTTTGGAGAGGCAGGACAGCTTTAGATCCCTGTGGAGGTTCTGGAGGCAGACTCGTAGAGGCCGGCCACAGACTGGTCTGGGGAGGACACAGTCACTGCTGCCCCCAGACTCGAGGGTCCCCTGCGGCCCCTGGGAATGAACGTTCACCGTCCAGGAGGCGTTCTCTGCCATCCCACTAACCTGCGCGCCTCGACGACAAATAAGGGGAGTCCTTACTCGGAGGAGGTGGAGGAAGAGATTAAACAGAGATTCTTTTTTGATCTGTTTCTGTATGTGAATTTACAAACACATCCACAAAGCCAGGCCACAGAATCATACAGGCTTCTCACTTAGTACATCCCGAGCATTTTACACATACAACTCTGTTATTGTAATCACTCCCATCGATTTTTACTTTAATTCAATGTAACACAGGATTTTAGAAGTGGGCTCGAAATGCTTGATGCCTACGGAGTCCCAGGGAAGTCACCTGGCACTGGAACTAAAGCCAGGAGAAAATCAGAGTCAAGATTTTCATGCCAGAAAAGTGGAGAGAAACTCATCTGCAGCTGGCTCCAGGGATGGCCCTCTACAGAACAGACGACTAGTCTTAAACATGTTTGGGAATGAATGTCTCCAGAACACTGGCTATGTTTTACTGTTTCCGAGAAAGCCTTTCCCTTCCTGAGTTAGAAGGCAATACATAGAGAGCTTGGACTCCAGTCTGGCACTCAGTTCATTAATCAGGGAAAATTCTGAGGTCGGTTGATTTATCTGGCACGCAGACTGAATGTTGACATTCTTCGAGCCTCGTCCAGAGGGCCATGAAACTCCGGACGAACTCCTCTCCCATGTGAACCATCTTTTCAGTTTAATTCTGGCTCAGACTCCGCGGTGAGCGGCTGGGGCCAGCACCTCGTTGAGGGACACGGTTTCTCTTGGGCCTTTCCTCTGCTCAGTATGAGACTCGACGTGTCGGCGTTCTTACCATCACAGAGAGGGAAGGATGCACGAACGAGTCCCAAAAGCACACAAACACGAGCACAAAGACACATAAAGCTGACCACATAAAATCAGTGAGATGCCACCTCGCCCACCAGGATGGTTACTATTAAAAACAAACAAACAAAACCCAGCAGGTATCAAGTATCGGGGAGGATGTGGAGAAGCAGGAAGCCTCGTGCACCGTTGGTGGGCGTGCAAGCTGGTGCAGCCACTCTGGAAAACAGTATGGCGGTTCCTCAAAAAATTACAGGTGGAGCTACCCTACGACCCAGCAATTGCTCTTCTGGGTACACACCCAAAAGAACTGAAAGCAGGGTCTTAAAGAGGTATTTGTACACCCGTGTTCAGAGAGGCATTATTCACAGGAGCCGAAACGTGGAAGCAGCCCAAGTGTCCATCAGTGAATGAATAGATGGACAAAATGCGGTCTGTCCGCACAAGGGAATACTATTCAGCTTAAAAAGAAAGGAGGAGGGCGCCTGGGTGGCTCAGATGGTTAAGCATCTGCCTTCGGCTCAGGTCGTGGTCCCGGGGTCCTGGGATCGAGCCCTGCATCGGGCTCCCTGCTCCTTGGGAGCCTGCTTCTGCCTCTGCCTCTCTCTCTCTTTCTCTGTGTCTCTCATGAATAAATAAACAAAATCTTAAAAAAAAAAAAAAGAAAGGAGGGATGCCTGGTTGGCTCAGTCGGTTAGGCGTCCGAGTCTTGATTTCGGCTCAGGTCATGATCTCAGGGTCCTGGGATCAAGCCCCGCATTGGGCTCTGTGCTCAGCATGGAGTCTGCTTGAGATTCTCTCTCTCTCTCCCTCTGCCCCTCCCCACTCAAAATAAATAAATCTTAAAAAAAAAAAAAAAGGAAGGAAGGAAATCCTAACGTGCATGGACCTTGAGGACGTTTTGCCAAGTGGCTTAAGCTAGTCACAAAAAGACAGTGTTATGGTTCCATTTATATGAGGTACTTAGAATAGAAAGTAGACGGTGGCGCCAGGGGTTGGGGGAGGGGGAAGGGGAGTTGTCATCTCGTGAGGACGGAGTCTCAGTTTCACAAGATGGAAAGTCCTGGAGACGGATGGTGGGGACGGTTGTGGAACAATGTGAATGAACCTAAACTGGACCATATCCTTAAAAATGGTTAAGATGGTATGTTTTATGTTGTTATATGTATTTTAGCACAATTTTTAAAAAGAGTGTATATGTATATGTATCAGGGAAAGCCACAAGTTAAGAGAGATTGAAAACGCAACTGGCTGACGTCATTGCAGCCGACGTGGTAGTCAAAGGAATGTATGTCACTTACGTGTATGAATTGTGTTTCAGGCCAGTAAGAGACTGTAAAACAGGACGAAGGATCTGAAAAGGTGTTCACAGAGCAGAACTCCCAGCATGCAAGCAAAAGTCACAGAGGTCTCGTCCCACCTGTGACCCACAAACCGGATGTCGAGCCAAACCGAGACGCGGTTTCCACCACATCAGGTAGGCAAGGATGACAACACGCCGTCAACGGGGGGTTGGGGAAGCAGGCCCCTTCCTAGTGTGGGCGGTGGGCACACGTGGGCTACGGCCTCTCTGTCCGGTATTTTTGGCAAAGTTTAAAATACATTCACCCAACGACCCAGCCGTTCTGCTTCCAGAACTCACAAGCACGTGAATGCCCACCTTGTGGTCATGGTAGCGGCCGTGATTAATTAAAACCAGCGAGGTAGGGGCTTGCAGTGAAAACGAGAAAGTGCTTTCCTACAAAGCAACTTGCGTTTTTGAAGAGTACTTAACGCCATGGGAGTTGGGGTCCCCGAGACGACCCACAGTTTCCATGATTCACTGGAAGGACCTTGGGACGTGGCACGAACTTGTCCTCACACCTGGGTCCACAGCACCCACACGTTTTCGTCATGCGCGCGTGCCTGGCATCATTTCCTTCTTCCGTTTAGTGAAAGCACTTGGTTATTTATTTGGGTTTCGCTCACCAAAATTCACTTAGCAGGGAGGAATAGGCAAGTGCAGTTCTCCCTAGAATCAAATACAGACCACTTCTATTTTTCCCTCGCAAGGAGGACGCGTTCCTCACGTCACAGATAGAACAGACAGTGTGTGTGTTGGGGGGTGGGGGCGGCAAACGAATTTTGTTCTTTCCGCAAACTCCTGTCGTGTGGCATGTATGCAAGGACGTCCTCAAACTCACGTTTGCCTCTGGAGCCTGGATGTTTCGGCGCCCTGAGCCTCTCTCTCTGTGTGTCTCCACGATTCTGCAGCCCCCTCCCCTCCCCTCTCCCCTCACCCTCAGCTGCGGTTCCCATGGCAACAGGCAAGAGTGGCCTTTGTCCTGCAAAGGTCTTCAGGGAGAACAGCAAACAGCAGTGGACAACAAAATTAACCGGGGTGGGGAGGGCGTCTACCAGAGGCCCCGGCATGTTCTTTCCTGGAATTAAAATGCACCGCAGGGCGTTTGTAGAATGTCACCTAATCAGTGCCTTGGACATGGCAAGTCTCCCAGGAGCACCGCGATGCAAGCGTTATCAACTATAATTATTCGTTCATAGACTGTGGATTTCACACCAACAGTATCTGTAATGGCAGATACTGTTCTAGGGTATGGGATTAGAACAGTGCTTTTCAACTGGGGGCGATTTTGCCTCCGCGAGGAGGCATTTGGAAACATTCTGGCTGCCGCACGCAAAGGGGCAGGCGCTGTTACCATCTAGTACACAGAGGCGGGGATGCAGCTAAACACCCTACAATAAACAGGACGCCAGCCCCCGACAAGGACCGACCCAGCCCCCAGCGTCAATAGTGCCAAGGTTGAGAAACCCTGGGTACAATGATGTGGAAGAACCTGCCCTGAAAAGTCTCGTGGTGCTTACTTTCTGAGGGGGGAGACAGACCACAAACTAAATTTGATTTGTGTGCTCTGATAAAGAGTGAAGGGGTTAGTGGACGAGAGGGTGACTGGGTCAAAGTGATGGGGTCAAAGGCGGCCTTTCTCGGGTTGTGATGAATGAGGAGAGAGCAGAATAAAGCCAGGGAGCAAGTCATGGGAAAAGAAAATTCCGGGGGTGGGTACAGTACGTGCAAAGGCCCTGGGGTAGAAGCACATTGAGCACATTCAAGGAAGAGCAATGAGACCACAGTGGTTGAAGTGCTATTAGGCAGGGTAAGGAAGGGGGGTGGTGGGGGTGGATCAAGAAGGGCCTTGTCAATGGTAAGAACTGTGGGGTTTGCAATTTAGCTATTAGAAATTTTAATATTGGGCGCCTGGGTGGCTCAGTTGGTTAAGCGACTGCCTTCTGCTCAGGTCATGATCCTGGAGTCCCGGGATCGAGTCCCGCATTGGGCTCCCTGCTCAGCAGGGAGTCTGCTTCTCCCTCTGGCCTTCCTCCCTCTCATGCTCTCTGTCTCTCATTCTCTCTCTCTCAAATAAATAAATGAAATCTTTAAAAAAAAAAAAAAAGAAATTTTAATATTGTTAGTGTCACCGATAATTAATTGAACATTTACTGTATGTCGGGCTTTCTCCGGGACACTGGAGATCACCAGGGCATGGAGCAGGCTTCTCACTACCTTCTTGCAGCAACAAGGACACTGAGAGAAAGAGATCAAACAGTCACATGAAAGTAAACTGCCAGAAGAACAAATACGGACTTGGTGACTTCTCTGGGCTGTGTGGCCACTGGGCCGTGGGCTGGGCCCACAAATGATGGGGGGGGCCCTATTAGGTAGCCGAGAGAGAGGAAGAAATGCACTTAGATGTCTTAGATGGTGGAGCTAGTCACTGAGATGAAGAAGCCTGGTGTTTTTAGAATCCAGCAGTTTCAAATCTGGCTGGGGCCCCTGATTGCCAACACATCACCATCATCATCATCACAATTCGTGTCATTATTATACAATAACTAACATGTGCCAGGCACGCCGTGATGCGCTGTTCCCAGGACATAGCTGCAAGGTGAGTGACATGACCTTCCCACTTTACCGACAAGCTCCCGAGCACACAGAAGAGAAAGGTGGTCCTATCCGGTTCTAATTGCAGAGTTAGGCCGCCCTAGAGGGAGCCCATCACACCACAGCCCCCTACACCCTCTGAGCCACTTGCTTCATTTGAAAAAAAGAGGACCTGCCTCTCAGGGCTCATGTGAGCATTACATGAACAAAGGCACGACCCCCACTCAGCAACGCAATCAGTAACAGCACACAACACTCAGTCCTCAAGATAAACAGCATTTTAATGCAGTATTAAAAAAAAAAAAACCATTAACGAAAACCCCCTCATGATGAACCAGCTATTAACATTTTGTGTATGTGTTTATTAAAAGGGGGTTAGTTATTTATTTAATTTTTTAAAAATAGTCTCTACATCCAACATGGGGCTTGAACTCACAACCCCAAGATTAAGAGTTACACGCTCTACCAACTTAGCCAGCCAGGTGCCCCGCTTTTATGTATTTTTAAATATATTTTTTAAATTTCCTCACGGTATCTATCACTTCTATTTTTTTCCCCAAAGATTTTATTGATTGATTGATTGATTTGAGAGAGAGAACACGAGAGAGGGGAGAGGCAGAGGGAGAGGGGGAGGGAGAAGCAGGCTCCCAGCTCAGGGCTGTGGGGCTCCATCCCAGGACCCCGGGATCATGACCTGAGCCAAAGGCAGGCGCTTAACTGACTCAGCCACCCAGGCGCCTCTTAAATTTATTTTTAAGAGACAATTTTTTTTCAGAAATAGATTTTGAAAATATTATTGATGAATTTGCTTCCATTAAATCCAGGAAAGTAAAATTATAATAAAATATGGGTTTTTTTTCTTTTGTATAAATAAGCTATTTAGACATACGATAATGTTGTTTTAATATATTTACTTTTCAGTTTTACAATATTTTTTCAATGAGTTTAATGTTCTAGAGGAAAAAAATCAACCATTAAAATTTTACATAAAAACACATATATAGGGGGCGCCTGGGTGGCTCAGTTGGTTAGGCGACTGCCTTCGGCTCAGGTCATGATTCTGGAGTCCCTGGATCGAGTCCCGCATC